TAAAATACATTTGTTTGCTACTACAATCTATTTACATATGCTACAAATTAGCTGAAATATTTTTTTTTCAGAAAACGAATGATTTTTCTACTTCCATGAGTAACGAGTGACAGGTTTGCTCAGTAACAGCTGATTCTGTGCAACAGTTAAGGAATTTGGACATGCAGTTGGTTCCCTTTATCTGATATGATCTGTAAAAAATGCAGGCAAAATTAAAATCAGTGTTTATTCTTGTTTTAAAACATTATCATAAAAATAGAATTACATTTCATATATATACAATAGTATATTTAATTAGGGTCCAATAGAGCAAGAGTATGTATGTATGTGTAGAAAACAGATGTAATAGTTTTACTGCTAAAAAGTTTGAAGTAGTATGCAAAATTGGAAGCTGATTTCTGATCAAACAATGACAGATAGCTGGGGAAAAGTAAATGTCAAATAATTTAACAAAATGAAACCTTGAACACTCTGATTTCTTATTGCAAGTATCTTTATATTTTACAATTTTAATATTTCTGTTTGGCTTATCCACAGCTGTTAACTAATTTCAGTGGATTTTTTAAAATGTAAATTGCTAATTCAGTGTGGATTTTTTTTTCGTTACATATACTCCTGGTTAAATTTTCATTACACACACAAGGACTGGAGTTGTATGGCTAAGCTCCTAAACATTATCTAAAGATTATATAATTTCCAAATTAGATAGGAACTCCCTGCCTGCAACTTGAAACCAGCCTAGCCCCTTTTATTTTATGAGGTTCTAATGGCTATGCATATTCTTTATAGATCAATGAAAATATAGGAGGAAAAGCTAGGATGTTAGCAAAGAAATAAGAGCTTTAATGTAACATGGATTAAACAGATTTTTCCTTGTATTTAAATCTTTAAGATTTCATTGAAAATGACACATGCTAGTTTAACTTATTTTTTATAGCTCTGAATGACACATTTCTCCAATTTATTGCAAATAATTCAAACACCTTGAACTTTATATAGTTTTTCAAAAACTAAGATGTATTTGGGGTGGAGGGGTTGATAAATTGATGTTGGAGTTTGAAGATGAGAGGAAAACTGTGCATCAAATATGGACCTTAAGGTGCAGATTTACTTTCAAAAGGAACTACAACAGCATTACAGACTTCCATTTTTCTCATGAGGTATATAAATACTATCTACTCTCTTCATGAAACTTAGAGCCCATTTTTATAAATTTTCTCAATTTGATTTTTAAAGTTAGTACTTGAAACTAATCAATAATATTAAATAAGTATTAAGATTCCAGAAATTGTATCTCTTATTTAATAGACATTAAATTAAGATTATTTATTTATTTATTTATTTATTTATATTCAACAAACCCCTCAGTTTTGAGCTTCAGTTTAGTGACCCTGTTTCAGTTATGGGCAGAGATGGGTTTTCTGAATTGGAAAATTTTCCAGTGCCCTAAATAGAGCGTGATCTGATTTAGCATATTTATTTGACTTACTTTTTTAGTTTTGTTAATTTTATGTCCCAATAGCCACAAGTATTTGAACTGAAATATTTGATTAGGAAAAAAATTAAATACAGCACACTTAATGTGGTTTAAATATATTCAAACAAATTCAAAGCTTTATGTGGAAATAAATTATTTTTATTGGAATACTAAAAATAGGAAGACAATACACAATAGCATGTACTTCTCTTACCTTGTTTGTTTAACTTTAAGAAAAAAAACAAAGGCACTGAAAACTGTTGGCACACTAATTTTAGCACACCCAAAGAACTGTGCATACTATGCTATGCCGTGGTTGTCCACTCATCTACTTCAATGGAGTTTAACTCTCTTCCACCGAAGTCATTGCAGCACCTCCAGTTTCACTGTCACTATCTGTAGAGTCACTTGCACTACTTATTAGTTCCATTTCAGAATCAGATTGAGGCAAATCTGATTCAGAACTACTTGAACCACATTCTCCTTCGCTAAAGCAGGGGTGGGCAAAATGCGGCCCGTGGGCCAGATGCGGCCCACCAGCCCATTCTATCCAGTCCGCAGGGCCCCTAAAAAATTTAGAAAATTAATAATAATCTGCCCCTGGGCTGCCTGTCATGTGGCCCTCGATGGCTTGCCAAAACTCAGTATGTGGCCCAAAATAATTGCCCGCCCCTGCGCTAAAGGATGGTTTTACCAAAGTCTATGGGCAAGGGCAACTTATCATCACACTGCATCTTCTTCATTAATTGTGCTTCTGACTGATTCTTCAGAAGTAAGAGATTTTGAGAAACAGAAACAAGCTTAGCGGTGCATTCATTTGTTAGTCTGTTCCTCATTTTTGTCTTGATTGAGCTGAAAGCCTTCCAGTTCCGTTCACGAGAAGCTGCTGTTGGTGGAATGCTTAGGATCCTTAGAGCAATCCTGGACAGCAGTCGGGTGTTACAGTATCCCTTCCACCATGTGAGAGGAGACATATTCTCTGCTCTCTGCCAAATGATGTCTTTGCTCCAAAGTTTTTCTTTTGTGCAGTACTTAGCAATGTCTGTCGTCATGGCTATTTCGTCGATGTTGGGGACATTCTTAGCTACTTCTATAACTGTATCAAAAGCAGTAGATAATTAATCTTCTGATAAATGTTGTCCTCTGTATTGAGGATCCAAAAGGCTTTCATGAACTGGATGAAAGCAAAACTCAGATCTCTTAGTAAACATTTGTTTTACTTCACCTCTATCCAAAAGAGAAGGAGGCAAAAACTCAATTAGATTTTCAGTCAGTTGTCTGAATATCTCTGGAATATTTGAAAAGCTTAGTGCATCTCCTTCAAGTTTCTTGACAGCCACTGCAGCTGGTAGTAGCAAGTTGAATGCTATTTGAACTCAAACCCAGAACACATCATTGTTGAGAATCTACTTCCGAATGTTCACGGGAATAATCTGGGATTCCTGTGTCATCTATTGAAGCACACTGCAAACAGTTCTTCGTAGGAAGCAAACTATGTAAACATTTTGTAGCAGAGTCCCACCTAGTTTCCCCTGGCAATAAAAGTGCACTTTCCCTCCCCTTCTTCTTTTTCTAATTTCTTCAAAGTCTGATTAGCAAAATGATGATATACGATGGGTGCATTAGTTTGTAACGTTCCCTCCAGTATTGATTTTCAGTTATGGAAAGAGGTGTACCATTTACAAATATAGCTTGAGCTAAAGTCTCATCTGCTGTTTCTTGATCTTCTTTTGACATTTTGTCCACAAAGCTTGACAGTCTTGAACAGCTACTCATAGTGGATTGCATATCTGGTGATGGTGATCTTGAAAGCAAGGAGCCTGCTGCTTCTTCCCCCAGACCTGGCAGCTCAACATTTTCATTTTTTGCAAATCTGCTATTTCACTTGAGCTACCAAGTTCCTGCAGCAAAAAAGGGGAAAAGATTTTTATTTTAGCCTATTCTAGTCTGGCCTCATCCATCAGAAGGAGAAGAGACAGGAGGCTTGCTTCTCTCCTCCCTGCCAGAAAGAACAGTTTGCTGCTCAGTTGCCCTGGGCCTGCACGGCCAAAGAGAAGTCTAGTTTGGCCTCTACCATGGGCCAGAGGACTAAGCTCACTCTGCTGGGTTGAAATAGTTAACTTTTTATTTATCATGTAATTAAAAAAAAAAAATTATTGTTAAACCTAAGCCACATTGGGTGCTCAGTGCAAGCAGAAAAGCAGGATATAAATATTGTAAATAAATAATAGTCCAGAGTTGCATTAATAACTTTTAAAATTAGAATGTTTTAAAACAATATAGTTGCTAGTCAATACTGTGTGTTTAATATATTAATTTGTTTGCTTACATAGGGTTCCTGAAGTAGACTTTTCTCAAATGTTGTTCCACCACTTCATTGTATTAGCTTTCTGTATATAGCTTATAGTTTCATAGTTTCTAGGGTTGGAAGGGACCTGAGCAGATCATCGAGTCTGACCCCCTGCCATGGCAGGAAAGAGTACTGGGGTCAAACGACCCCAGCAAGGTGTTCATCTAACCTCCTCTTAAAAACCCCCAGGGTAGGAGCCTGCACCACTTCTCTTGGAAGTTGGTTCCAGATCCTAGCCTCCCTGACAGTGAAGTAGCGCCTCCTGATATCTAACCTAAATCTACGCTCTGCCAGCTTGTGACCGTTATTCCTGGTCACTCCTGGTAGTGCTCGGGGGAACAGGGACTTTCCCAGTGCCTGCTGGTCCCCTCTGACTAGTCTGTACTCTTTCAGGACAGTTTCTACATGTTATTAAATGTTTCTTCATTCTTGTTGTGTTAGCACACTCCTGCCCACCATATTTACATCTACCAACTTTCTTCCTTCAGTGGCTTGAACTTCACCATAATGATGTCACACGTGGTTTTTTTTCTGATTAGGCATTATTATGACTACTTCAAACAAAAATCACTAAAAAACTAACAAATCTTATGCAGACACTTCCAACTTCCCCAACTCAAGAAAAGAAATGAGACACTGCTCTGTGTGTATACTGAACTGAAAGGAAACAAAAATGAATCTGTTTTAGTTTTGCTTTCACTTGCAGTCTGAGATGAAATAAGAATTTTAACTTTGGTTTTGATTTGACCTGCACAGCCAATTAGTTGATTTCATAACTTGCTTTTTGGCTTGGATTATTATGCGAGTGTATTTACCCTCCTGTTTACAAATCAATAAAACATATATGTACTCTCTTGCACAATTCCTAGGGATAATCATCTGAAAAACATTAATTACAACTTTGAAACTACCAAGCTAGTCTAATATTGTATTGGCATCCATTTATTGTTACTAATTAATTTTATGAAACAATAAATGTTTAGAAATGGAAAATTTCCCACAGAAAAATCAAGCCCCACATCTCTGGTTATGGGTATTATTCCTACTTCCCCACTGGCTAAATTAAGCTACTACAGTAGTGTAAAGGAGAGGTAAACTTGTTGGAAACTGCCACTAGGAAATTCACTATGAAAGAAAATAAAATAGAGTCAAAATATGGAGCACAAAATCCAATGCATTAAGACAGTAAGATCTATTTATTTATATAAAATAAATTGTGTGACATCATGACCTGTTATTCAGTGAAAATCCTTCCATTAATAAAACTGGTTCTGTTTTAAGGCTCAAATTATGTTTAGGTAGTCTTGCTAAAAGCCTTCTTTCAGGTTTGGATTTTTCTGCAAACTTGCCCTCCCCTTTTGATGATCTCTGGTTAATTGTACCCAAATTAACTTTAAAGTTCAAATTCCCAGGAAATCTTACAGATGTTGAACTTTGGTCATTTCTTCCTTTAACAGCAGTTGCTTTCTTCAGGTTGTCATAGTCAACTTGACACACTTCTGTGCCTCTGTCTGCATTACTTCCAGTTAGGTCTCTGATGCTACTGAGATGTGCATCTCTTCTAGGTGCAACAGAATATGATTTCAAGGTATGTGTTTTCTGGACAGTGCTAAGAGGGACATTTTTTAGGTGCCTGGAAAACTGTAAAGTCAGGTGTCCATTTGTACTATGCTGGCTAGAATGAGGTTTTCCCAGATGAAGGTAGCTTAAGGTAGTTAAATTTAAATCCTGTTGAGCATCTGGTGGATCTTTGCTGCCATTAAGTTGTTTGAGGCTAACTTGAGAAGTTTCAAAAATATGTCCAAATTGTGTTTGCTTGGACAATAGTCCAATTCCAGGCACAAATAACTCTGGCTCCATATGCTTGGCAATTTTACTCAGACTGGTTTGATAGCCTGATGGATGGACATCATGATTTGCTGGAACATCCTTCCAAGTTAATGGATTGTATACAATATATCCATCAACAGGGCATGCATTTTTCTGGTGCAGCAACCAATCATCAATACATTTCCTATGGAACTTAAAAACAAAACATGGGTCAAATACATAAAAAGTGGCTTATTTTTAACTATGCCAGTTTAAGTACAAACTATTCCTGAAGACAAAAAAAAAAAAAAATCAAAGTCTGATTCTCCACTCCCTATGACTCCATTCTCCCAAGAAGAAACCAAAAGTAAATTCACTAATCTCCAGGTTAGGTCAATGTGAAACTGGTAAATGTTAAGAGAGTATTTACTGAGTCAAATGGTTTATCAGCAGCTGAGCTGTCTGCCGTAAACCAATACACTTGAATTGTTCAATATATCAATTAAGTTCTTAACTGCTCCTATGAAGAACAGAATTGCATCTATGCTCACTGACACATATAGACTTAGTGCTGACTCCAGTGTTTTCTCCTTATATATCTTTGGTAACTAATGATGCTGGATTGATTGTGTCTACTTCCAAGCAGTAGCTTTTCTTTTCTACAGGATAGTAAAAATCATCATGAAAAATGGTGTCATTCTGTCAACAAAAAGAATGCTGCTAGTCAGGTAGACATCTTTCTCAAATTCTTATAATCTGGAAATGTTTTATATGGGTCTAGTAAAGCACTGGTGCAGACTGCTTTTGGTGCACAAGTTGCTAGGGTGCTCTAAAAAGATAAGTGGATCCAAATTATGTCACTTTTATTTACAGTGTCAAGTTATACACAACACCATAAGTTCCAGGAAAGTCAACTTTTTTACTCCACAGAAGTATGTTGAGAACACAGTCAGGTTCCATAATTAACGACTACAAAATCAGAATCAGAAGCCACCTTTTTATCCTGTATTCTCTTTAAGACAGATAAATAAAACCCAGTCTTAGATGGGTGTTTAATGGGATCAAAACATTTGCAAGACAGAAAACTACCTACTATTAAAATTTAAGAATAACTTTGTTTTCACACCCACAGGAGTGGTGATGGGCACTAGAATATTTGTTCCAGGCACACATCAGTTAAAAGGAAATGAATGGAGCATGAGGCTGCACAAGCAGCCAATGAACAGTACTCTCGAACATTCAGAGCTTACTCTACAATGGTGCACACATCACTGACAATAGGGAACTGTAAAATAAATACACATGGGCATATAGTATGTAAATACTAAGCCACTCATAACTTTAATTAATTTCCTTTAAAGTCCCTGGATTTTCTCAGTAACTTTGCCATTGAGCTACCTACATTTAATTGATAATACTGTATTTGCACTGCCATCTAAGCAGTGAGTGCAATCATTTGTTGATAGACATAATATTAAGAAACAGGCTAGTAAAACTGTTGAATGTTAACAGATTAAAATCCTGATAGTCTTGAAATACAGTATGATAATAATAAAGAATCAAATTATTTACCTAATGATTTGTTTGCTGAACATTCGTATTCTTTTCAATGTTTAAGTTAATCTGATAGGTAATATTTCATGAACTTTGTATACAATAAATCTCTACACCACACAAGCATGACAACACATATTAAGAATGCACTTTTACCTTGTGATTACATGGCAGGAGTCTTGCATACTGACCCAGGCAAAAGATCTTCAAACACAGTCTACACTGCAGGCCTGGAGCAAGTAAATTGCTACATTTCCTAACCAATGTGCAAGGTATAGATTTTACAATGTGCTCTGGGATACAATTGGTCCTAAAAAAATATAAAAAACAGAACAGTTTTCAATAAATTAGAAAAAGAGCCAATGAAACTGAAATTTTCAAAGTGGCAAGCCAACCTCTGGTATAGGAATATCAGGTTCTGGTGGGCTGATTATTGAGTAGAGTGATTTTTTTTTTAACCTAATCAACAATTTGCAATAGTCATTTCAAAGACCCCAATCTTGCTATAGAATAGCCACAAATGGATCTTCCCCTAGGAGAAATAATTATGATAATTTATTCAGACCTCCTGTGTAATATAAGCTACAGAAATTCACTTAGCAATTTCTACATCAATCTTCCTGGTTGAGAGATTACTTTATTTTAGAAGAACCAAAGCACAAAGAAGTTAAGAAATTTGTCCAGTCACAGTCTACATCTATACCAGTGGTGATCAACCTTCTTATCTTGCAAGCTGAGTCCATCTGTGCACTGAATTTGGCTGAAGAGCCCAATCCAGCTGTGCGGAGGGGGCATGGCCTGCTGCTGACTCAGCTCTGTGGGGGGAAGGGGTGTGGCCCAGCCCCAACGCCACCAGTTAAGGCTTGGCAATTTGGCAGCAGGGAAGGAGTGCTGGGAGAAATGTAATGCGCGTTCACAGTTTCCTTTAATCAGTATAGATATACCCCACAGGAAGCTTGTGGTGCAAAAGCAGAACATTATCCTTGAAGTCCTGCAATGCTCTCATGCCTCACTAAGACACTGTGGGAGATGCATACATTGCAGGATTAGGGGCCATACACAATAATCTGTTCTAGTACTGAATAGTAAATTTGAGGGTGTTACTCTGAAGAGTATGATGGGAGACCACTATTGTAAAGACAACTGATCTCTCAGCCACGTCAAATGGGCCCATTCTGAAGCACATTCACAGTTTAAGATTCTGCTTCCAACTCTTTAGGTATCTTGGAGTGGGTTATCTTTAATACAATAACCTTGTTAGTATACATATAAGTACATTTATAGGAGATCAAAATTCATATTTATCTCAGCCTGTTTGTCCTCAAATTCAGATACAAGCAAATTACATTTATTAAAAATACGAATGAAAGTCTTGTCCATTATCCACCAAAATGTTATAGGATTCTGCCTTTCCTATTTCCAAATCAAATGATTCATCTCAGTAATAATCTGCTCCTAAAAAATACTAACCCACCTACCTCCACATTTAATTACTTTGTAAGTGAACAGGATGGGTTTTCCTTGCTCTTAACCGAAAGGTAGCTCAGAGCGTGACAATTTAAAATGCTTTTCCAAGATGCATGGCATTAGTCTCTAAGCCTAAGTGAAAAGAAATTCACTCACCTGTAAATTACATTTAACTTACTTTAAGTACATTAATATGATAAAGTTAATATCTGCTTTCTAGAAGGCATTTCTAAAAACAATAAAATATTAATATATTGAGTTGTTTAAATAATGTTGAATATAGAAACTCAAAACTTAAACAGTATGGGAAACATGGTATCTTACTTCTGAAGATGTGACATCTCTTCTTCATCTTCTGTATTAATGTTTTTTAAATTCCCTCTTGAAGCTGATAATTGTGAAACGTGTTTAAGTGATCTCCAACTCTGATTTCTCTTCTATAATATTCAGAAAGAGCTTATAAATAACCACAGAATATAGCCCAAAAATAACTGAGGAAGAATACTGATTCAGAATTTGGTTCTTTGTAAATTTTGAAAATAGGAACTATAAATATTTTAATAAACTCATTCTTTATCAGTTTCTGTAGCAGAAAATACAGGTTAATCAATGTTCTGGCTGAAGTCCCTTTCCAAGAAGACTTCCTTTTCTCATCTAAAGCTTTGGAAAAACCTTAAAGTATGGTGTGGTGACTCTCAGCAGTTAAAGACCATCTTGATGCATGTCAAAAAAACCCTCTTATCCTTAGGCAAAATTGAAGAGCTAATGTTTCTGGGCCTTTTAAGGCAAAACTACACGAAAATCAGACGTGTGTGTTTGAAACTGCCCCTTGCATCCAAGTCCATGGTAACTGCTATTCATATTATCAATGCTTTGGCTCCACAAAACAGTGTAGCAATATAAAAGAATTAGCCAATTACAGAAATGTTCAAAATGAGTCTGCTAAATCAATAGCTAGCCCTCTGGAACCTGTGGGAAGACAGGACATTTCATACTTATAATTTCCTGCCTGAGCTCTAGGCCTGTATATTCAGCGCTCCTCAGAGCTATGGCTCCAATAAAATCACATCTGATGGAGTTAGCCAGCTGGCTAGCTGGTTAACTCCGGATATCATTTGCAGAGATCCTCACACTGGAATGAAGCAACTGAGAAGTTAAGTGTATTATTTTTTCCATAGAAGTGTTACCAGACACTGGAAGAGGAATGTTTTTCACCTTTCTCATTTTTTGACTCCTCCATTATCAAAAGAGAGCTGTATCAAGGCCCAGGCCAAAAATAGAGACCACTACTGCAAAGACAACTGACCTCCTTGTAATGTAGTTAGAGGCTAATTGGGAACATTCTGAAGTACCTTCTAAGGCAGTGGTCACCAAACTTTTTTGATCGCGCTCCCCTTTCAGTAAAAAATTTTTGAGTACGCACCCCCAATATATGTATATTTATATAAATATACATCTAAATAATAGAAGTTCTAATATTTTCTTCCCGCACCTCAATGGATCGTCTTGCGCACCCCACTCTGGAGACCACTGTTCTAAGGTGTTCTTCCTAATTCTTTATGGGCTTTTTATTGGGCTGTCTTTTAACCAGAAATCCTCTTTAGTGCATATATTTTTTTAAAAGAACAGTTTATTACATTTCCATATAAAATATTCCCTGTATTTGTCTATTAGACGGCTTTGGATGCAGTGTAATAAAACCCAGTACGGTACCTGCCGAAAGGTAAAAACATGTGGAGGATGGCAAAACTTTTTGAAACATTCATGGCATAGGTGATATTCAATACACTTCGTGCACCTAAGAAACACAACAAAATAGGGGGCTTGCAGAATGGACTATTAACATTTTAGAATGATACATAAATATAAAGAAAACCTTTGTTAAAGTTTTGGCATATGAAGTCCTAAATTACCTGTATACACTTAATCTAACTCAAACTTATTGTAAACTTATAGTGTTAGTAAGTTTTTAGGAAGCAACACTTAATATTGATCAGTTTTTGGCTAAATTTTCCACAGAAGTCTACACCATGTGCTATTCTTACCTAAGGGGAAAGAGTGAATATTTAGGTTTCTGAATGGCAACAATTTACGTAAGAAAATATTACAGATAATAAAGCTTGTACAATAGGGTGGATAGGTTCATGGTATTCAAGAGATTCTAATTCAAGATGAAGAAATCAACACTGATTGCTGACCACAGGTGATGACCTGGTGAGGAGGCTGCAGGTGCTTGACCACCTGGGTGACTGAGCGATCATCACCTGCTGGAATTCACCATCCAGTGCAAGGTGACAAAGGCCTGCAGCACAGCAGCAGCCCTGGACTTCAAAAGGGCAGACTTCAATGAGGTAAGGAGAATAGTCAGGGAGGCACTGAGGTCCCAGAGGGGAGGGGAGTTGGGTGTCCAAGAACAGTGGTCGCTCCTTAAGGAGACGATCCTCCAAGCCCAAAGGGAGGTAATTCCGACACAGATCAAAGGGGGCAAGAGGGTGCAAAGACCCCATGGCTCACCAAAAGAATCTGGGAACATCTAGCTAAAAGGGAGGCGTACACCCAATGAAAGGGAGGGGCCATCACCAGCGAGGACTATACTGCGGTTGCTTGGGGATGCAGGGAGCTGGTCAGGAAGGCCAAGGTGGAGATGGAACTGGGACTAGCTATCCGGATCAAGGACAACAAGAAGTCCTTTTTTAACTACATAGGGGGCAAAAAGAAGGTAACATGGGGCCCCTGCTAGACACGCTAGGAAATCTGGTCGTCACACCAGACAACAAAGCTAACCTATTTAAGTTTCTTTGCCTCCATTTCCCCGAGCAGGGACCAGATCAGCCCCCACACCAGGACACCCTCAAGCCCCAGGAGAGGCACACCCAGACCTAGGGTCAGGAAGGATCTAGTCAGGGAATTTCTGGAGGGACTGGATGTATTTAAATCAGCTGGTCCAGATGATCTCCA